TATTAAACAGGGAACAGAAGCTCTAACTTTTACATTAATGGAAATACTACGTGTTTAGAAAATACTGTTTTAGAGGACAAAAGACGTCATCTTCATATCTTTTAAGTGTCTAATTTCTACTATTTAAGTGAGTACTTATATTAAATCTGCCATAAAAAATATGGATTTACAAAAAAGACAAATTAGAAATTATGTTCTTCACAGAGATCGACTACAGGATTCTGAATCTTAAATTGTCTTCATATGTTTAGGATAGAATTTGATGCATTTATCATTTTTAAAGTATGAGTTATTACATAAAGCTAAGTTAAAAGTTCAACCAAATGGAAAAGGTACCAACAAATGCCTAAAATACTATTCTAATTATCTAAAACAAGAACAAATAATTTTTCAAATAAGAGTTGTTAATATTTATTTTAGACATTTGATTTAGTTGAAAGCTGCTACTTTGTTACTTAAAGACTGAGCCTATAAGAAGAGAGGTTTAATCCAAGTAATATGAAAGTGAACTCTTTACCTTACCTGTTTTTCCCCAAATAATTCTGACTTCACTACTGGAAATTTTTGTGAATGGTTCTAAAAAACACCTATTTTGAAACTGCAGAAATAGCAGGACAAATCACTTTGTAGAATGATTTGTGAAATATTGTCCTACTACACTTAAATAAAAACAACACATTTCCTCACTTATGAGTATTTTCTTATTTTTGATACTGCAAATTCTACACATAGAACACCTCTTCATTGCCCTGCTGAAGGCCTCAGAATGTAGAGATGTTCAAAAGTAATTTATACCATTTTTACCCAGGCTTTGTAAACATATGTCAAAGAGATAGGAAGGTACTCAGTTTTAGTAAACAAAATAATTGCTCCTATAGTAGCTCCTCAAAGTCCCAGGCAAGTAGGCATTATCAGAAGTTTTCTATTAGATAATTCTACCATCTCCAAATAAGGACTTTGGTCTGTTTATAAAAACTAATTGATAGATGAAAGGAAGGAAGGAAGGTAGGTAGGCACGTAGGTAGGTAGGTAGACAGACAGACAGACAGACACAGGCTTTTGCTTTGTCACTTATGCTGAAGTGCAGTGGCACAACCATAGCTCACTGTAACCTTGAACCCCTGGGCTCAAGTGATCCTGTCTCAGCCTCCCAAGTATCTCGGACTAAAGGTGTATGCCACCACACTTGACTACTTTTTAAATTTTTTGTAGAGACGAGGTCTTGCTATGTTGCCCAGGCTGGTCTCAAACTCCTAGTCTCAAGTGATCTTCCCACCTCGGCCTCCCTGTAAGTTGGGATTACGGGTGTGAGCCACCGTGTCTGGCCTTGGTTTATTCTTAGGAGTTTTTTTTCTCCCTTGTCCTGTTGCATAATCTAGAAGACTCTCCAGTATAATGTTAAACAGAAACAGTGATAGTGGGTATCCTTGTCTTGTTTCTGACTTTAATGAAAATGCTTCTAAGTTTTCTTCATAATGTATGTTTGCTTTGGATTTTGATAGATACCTTTTTGAGATAAAAAGCAGTTTCCTTCTGTTCTCAGATTGTTTAGTTTTATTTTTTTTAATCCCTGAATGAGTTTTCCTATAGTTAAAATGATCATATACACCTTTTACTTTAAATCTCATCTGGTGTAATATGTTGACAGATTTTTTGATATTGAACCACCTTTGCATTTCTGGGGTAAAGCTGCTGCTTAAAGTGTTTTTCTTTTTCTTTTATTATTATTTTTTTATTTTTTATTTTTTTGAGACGGAGTCTCGCTCTGTCACCCAGGCTGGAGCCCAATGGTGCAATCTCGGCTCACTGCAACCTTTGCCTCCCGGGTTCAAGCAATTCTCTGCCTCAGCCTCCCGAGTAGCTGGGATTACAGGTGCCCGCCACCACACCTGGCTAATTTTTGTATTTTTAGTAGAGACGGGGTTTCACCATGTTGGCCAGGCTGGTCTTAAACTCCTGACCTCGTGATCCACCCACCTTGGCCTCCCAAAGTGCTGGGATTACAGGAGTAAGCCACCACGCCTGGTGATGACGTATGTTTCTTTTCTTTTCTGTTTTTCAGACGGAGTCTCGCTGTTGCCAGGCTGGAGTGCAGTGGCGCGATCTCGGCTCACTGCAACCTCCGCCTCCCGGGTTCAAGCGATTCTCCTGCCTTAGCCTCCCAAATAGCTGGGACTACAGGCGCGCACCACCATGCCCAGCTAATTTTTGTATTTTTAATAGAGACGGGGTTTCAGCAATGTTGGCCAGGATGGTCTCAATCTCTTGACCTCAGGGGATCCACTGGCTTTGGCCTCCCAAAGTGCTGGGATTACAGGCGTGAGCCACTGCACCCGGCCTCTGATGCTGTTTTTACAAAAATATTTTTTAGGCTGGGCATGGTCACTCACATCTGTAATCCCAGCACTTTGAGAGGCTGGGGCAGGAGGATTGCTTGAAGTCAGGAGTTAGACCAGCCTGGGTAGCATAGCAAGACCCTGTCTCTATTAAAAAAATAATTTTTCCTACTATTCGATGCTCTTTCCTTCCTTTTATTTTACTGTTAAAATAACGCTTGTCACTGATTTTTTAAAATCTTTGTTTTAAAAATGCATTAAAAAATATAAATTAGGCCAGGTGCAGTGGCTCACGCCTGTAGTCCCAACACTTTGGGAGGCCGAGGCAGGTGGATCACCTGAGGTCAGGAGTTTGAGACCAGCCTGGCCAACATGGTAAAACCCTACCTCTACTAAAAATACAAAAATTAGTCGGGCGTGGTGGCTGGTGCCTGTAATCCCAGTTACTTGAGAGGCTGAGGGAGGAGAATCACTTGAACCCAGGAGGCGGAGGTTGCAGTAAGCAGAGATCACGCCACTCCACTCCAGCCTGGGCAACGAGTGCGTCTCAACAATAAAATAAAATAAATTTGCCACCATATACAATTTTATTTATTAACTTTGCTTCATGGTACTTTGTATTTTCGTTTTAAATATATTGTAATTCCTTGTCTTACTTCCTCTTTAACTCAATGAGTCATTTAAAAGTGTATTTTTGGGGCCAGGCACAGGGGCTCATGTCGGTAATCCCAGCACTTTGGGAGGCCAAGGTGGGTGGATCACGAGGTCAAGAGATCGAGACCATCCTGGCCAACACGCTGAAACCCCATCACTACTAAAAATATAAAAATTAGCCAGGCGTGGTGGCACACACCTGTAGTACCAGCTACTTGGGAGGCTGAGGCAGGAAAATCACTTGGACCCAGGAGGCAGAGGTAGAAAGTGAGCCAAGATCGCACCATTGCACTCCAGCCTGGTGACAGAGCGAGACCCTGTCTCAAAAAAAAAAAGTGTATGTTTCAACATTTAAAAAAATTTTATTGTGGTTGATTCTGATATAACTGAATTGGGTTGTCTGATCAGTTCTTTAAAGTCTGTTAACACTTTGTGATCCAGATAATAGTGTTTGTAAAAAAAAATTCCTGATGTATTATGGACTTTAATGGGCATGATCTTTATTTGATTATACTTATTAATTTTATTTAGTTTTGCAAAATTAACTTCATAAATCAGTTTATAACAAAAGTATGTTAAAATTGTCTGCTATGCTTATGAATCAAATCTACAGTTCCTAATTTTTTTCATATATTTTGAGGCTATATTAAGTATATATAAATGTACAGTTGTTAAATTGTTGCATTGTTTTATGTATCTCATACATTACTGAGAAGACATGTTTAATACATATGTTATACATAATTGTATATAATGTAATTATATGTTAGTGGGGATACAGAGAGAATACATAAATGTGTATGATACATAATAGAGATAATACATATATATTACATATTATCTACATATTATGCATACATAAATGTATTATCTCTACCCCCATTAATGCTTTCTTGTTGAAAATTCTATTATTTGCTATTAATATAGCTACACTGACCTTCTTTTTGGTATTATCATTTTAAAAATTAACTTCAAGAAAAAAATTCTGATAAAGCTAATAATGTTTAAAATAACTGACACTCAAATATCAGACTGTGTCAAAAATTTATCCCTTCCCTACTGGGACAGAGACACAGTTGGTCTTGTTCTTGCTCTGTTGCCAGGCTGGTGTACAGTGGTGTGATAGTAGCTCACTGCAGCTTGATCTCCTGAGCTGACGTGATCCACCTGGCTCAGCCTCCCAAGTAGTTGGAACAATAGGCACATGGCACCACGCGCCTGGCTTATTTTCCTTTTGGAGATGCAGTTTTGCTATATTGCCCAGGATGGTCTTGAATGATTGCTTCCCTTAAGGGATCCCTCTACCTCTGCCTCCCAAGTAGCTGGGATTTATACTTGTTTCTTTCTGTTCTCTCCAACTCTTTTTTTTTTTTTTTTTTTTTGAGATGCAGTCTCACTCTGTCGCCAGGCTGGAGTGCAGCTGATGTGATCTCGGCTCACTGCAACCTCTGCCTCCCAGGTTCAAGCGATTCTCCTGCCTCAGCCTCCTGAGTAGCTGGGACTACAGGTGCATGCCACCACGCCCAGCTAATTTTTCTGTTTTTAGTAGAGATGGGGTTTCACCATGTTGGCCAGGATGGTCTCAATTTCTTGACCTCGTGATCCGCCCGCCTCAGCCTCCCAAAGTGCTGGGATTACAGGTGTGAGCCACCGTGCCCATCCCTCTGTTCCCCTCTTAACTGCTTTTCGTTGAAAATGGGTTATTCTCTGAGCAAAATTATTTGAAAGACTGGTAAGAGTATTTGTTTATTCATATTTCTCAGAATTTTCTGTGGAGTGAACATTCTGTGTTTCTGCATACCAAGCTATGCAAAGTATCAACAAAAAGGTTTTTCATTACTTCTATTTGGTAGATATTCTTAGAGTTGGGGTATAGCTGGGGTTGGATAGAAAACCATGTTTCTGGCCCCCTCCACAAAACGTCAGATTTACTAGTTTTAAGTTAGGTAAATCTAAAAAACGTATCCTTGCAGATGAGGACGTTTCTTGATATGAACTTTTTCTTCTTAGTGGATATCTTAACTTATGTAGCCTGGAAGTTGAGCGCATTTCCCAAAAACCGTGTTATTGGAAGTGGTTGTAATCTGGACTCTGCTCGTTTTCGTTACTTTATTGGGCAAAGGCTTGGCATCCACTCTGAAAGCTGTCATGGGCTGATTCTTGGAGAGCATGGCGACTCAAGTGGTAAGCCTGAGGCACGATTGGAGCCTCTGAAATATCTATTTCCTACCAATCATATAGACATTTAATGCAAAGTAGCTCCTGGGAGGGGAGAAAAGACTATTCCACTTTAGGCCCTTTTAGTAGTAATTTTTTACAACACTTATTTTTAAAATAACAAAAAATACAGATTTGAAAAATGTGAAATTGACACTATAATCCTACATATGGATGGCTAGGATTATAATGCTTTTCTTAAATAGAGAGCTAAGTAACACGATATAGTTTGTATTTAATTTGGGACACTCTAGTTCGCAAAGGTCAGCAGTGTACTTCATGTAGTAGGCATTCTTCAGATTAAGGGATGGGTATAACTGAAGAATGTAAGAGGGAAGAGAAAGAGTACTGTGGTAATAGTCTTTTTCTCCCCTCTTAGTGTCTTCTGGCTAAAAAACCTTTGAAATCTATTTAATATAAACCTTGGCTATGGAAAAAGACTTAAAGGTAGAAAAACTAAAACTTCCTAGTGGAAAGTTTAAAACTGCAATTTTCTTATTTGCAGAATCTTTGCCAAGATAATAGAATTGTGGATCCCCCTCTGTGGAGATCTGGATTTAGAACATCTGGAGTGGGGCTCAGATATCAGAACATTCCTAGTTGAAAACCACTCATAACAGTTTTGCTAAGGTCAAAAACCAAAACCCTGCTAATACTATGTTGTAAGAAGTGGGATTTTGGGTATCTCTTTCTTAGTTCCTGTGTGGAGTGGTGTGAACATTGCTGGTGTCCCTCTGAAGGATCTGAACCCAGATATAGGAACTGATAAAGATCCTGAGCAGTGGGAAAATGTCCACAAAAAAGTGATTTCCAGGTAATACACGCTAGTTTCACATTTTTAGTAAGTACCTTAGAAGTTGTGAGCCTGAACTCTGTTAGAAAGTTGAGATTAGTCCCTTAAGTATATGTTGTTGTATTTCCCATATTTTTATTTGCACTTCTACTTTTTTGTGTGATCATATTCACCAGATTATAAATTCTTCAACAGTCAGGGACTGATTCTATGTTGCTCATTCCTGAGCCTAACCCAGTATTGAGCACATGGTAGGGGCTCATTTGTTGACTGACAACGTATTTTTTCAAACACTTGCTATATAGTGTTTATTGTTAGTGGTGGAATTAATTCCATATTAATTTCTGCATCTCTGTACTTGTAACTCTAATGTTTAACCACCGTGGCAAGGCATGGTGGCTCATGCCTATAATCCCAGCACTTTGGGAAGCTGAGGTGGGAGGATCACTTGAGCTCAGGAGTATGAGGCCAGCCTGGGCAACATAGGGAGACCCCATCTCTACAAAAAAAAAAAAAAAAAAAAATTAGCTGAGCGTATGGTGACTTGCTTGAGCCCAAGAGGTCAAGGTGAGCTCTGATGGTGCCACTGCACTCCAGCTGAGACCCTCCCTAAAAAAGGCATACATATGGCCAGGCGTGGTGGCTCATGCCTCATGCCTCTAATCCTACCACTTTGAGAGACCAGGGTGGGCAGGCCACTTGAGGTCAGGAGTATGAAAACAGCCTGGCCAACGTGGTGAAAACCCAGCTCTACTAAAAATACAAAAATTAGCCACAAATGGTGGTGCACACTTGTAATCCCAGCTACTCAGGAGGCTAAGGAGGGAAGACTGCTTAAACCCGGGAGGTGGAGGTTGCAGTGAGCCGAGATTGCACCACTGCCCTCCAGCCTGGGCGACAGAGCAAGACTTAAGGAAAAAATGCATACATACTCCAAGTAATTTCTAGGAGAAGTTGTTGATGGAGTCATTGCAGTTTTGTGGCATTGTTAGATAGGTTGCTATAAAGTGGAAGTTCAATGGCAAGTGGATCTTCTCAACTAACTTATGTTTATGGTTTCTTCTAACTACAGTGGCTATGAGATGGTCAAAATGAAAGGTTATACTTCTTGGGGCATTAGCCTATCTGTAGCTGATTTAACAGAAAGTATTTTGAAGAATCTCAGGAGAGTGCATCCAGTTTCTACCCTAAGTAAGGTAGGACATTCACGTTTGAAAAATCATTAACTTCAACATAAAACAGGGGTAAATAACATTTTTGAGACACTCCGGTTTTGGGTTTGATCTCGTGGAAGAACCTCTCTTCCTGAAGTCTGTTCTTTGCTGCTGAAGAGTGGGGAGATCGGGGAAAGAGTCTATCTTTATAGACCTTTGTCCTGGTCTAGTGTGACATTTCCTTTTATTAGATAAAAGTAAGTGTTTTTGCAACTTGATTATTTAACTAAGTGATCTGACTCTACCACTATCTGGAAACACTGGGAACCACTATGGGCAGACCTTGGTACCTTTGGAGTTGTTCTCTTCATTTCGATTATGTCCAATGAAGAGATCTAGGAAAAACGCACTAGACACAAAAGAATTAGCAGTCTCCTGGGGAGAGGGGAGTTGGGGCATGGGTGAGATCCTTCTGCTAGTCTAAATGGGAGAGGTTATAAAACAAGACAGATCTAAATCATTGGAAATAAAGTCATAGGAATTTTGAAGTGGTCTCTTGATAGGAAGTGGTATGGAGTAAGGAGATGAGGAAAGAAGGGTGGGCCCCAGCAAACATGGCAGGAGGCTGGGGCCTATGTGGAGAGATGGTGGGTTGAAACTGAACAATAAATATGTCTAATCATGTTTTAAATTGTTCTCTGTCTTGGTACTCTGCCATAGTTTGTACTACCAACCTGTTATTCATTCACCTCACAACTGTTGTTTCTCATATTGCAGACCTTTGTTAAAAGTTAAAAAAGGAATAATTTTTAAGTCTTTACTTTCAGGGCCTCTATGGAATAAATGAAGAAATATTCCTTAGTGTCCCATGTATCCTGGGAGAGAATGGCATCACAGACCTCATAAAAGTAAAACTGACCCTTGAAGAGGAGGCCTGCTTGCAAAAGAGTGCAGAAACACTTTGGGAAATTCAGAAAGAACTCAAGTTTTAAAGTTGCTTAAAGTTACCATTCTATAGATTGAAGATGAAATAGTAGTTATGGAATTGTATATGTCAAACTTTAAAATAAATTTGTATTTCTAAAAGTTGGAAAAATAGAGGAAAGAGTGACCTATTTAGTGTAGCCTTCCAGCTTTTTTTTTTTGGGTGGGTCTCATTCTGTTACCCAAGCTGGAATGCAGTGGCACCATCACGGCTCACTGCAACCTTGACCTCCGGAACTCAGGTGGGTCTCCCACTTCAGCCTTCAGAGTAGGTGGGACCACATGTGTGTGCCTCCATGCCTGGCTAATTTTTGTATTTTTTTGTAGAGATGGGATTTTGAACTCCCAAAGTGCTGTGATTACAGGGGCGAGCCACTGTGCTTGGCCTTAGCTTTGATTTAGTATCCAGATGATGGACGACACTTCTTTTTTTTTTTTCCCAAACAAAAGTGATGGCATCAAAGATGTTTTTGGTATCTTTTAGTACTTGCCTTGTATGTATACGTAACTGCCATCTGGTCCATGAGAATGTGTATGCTGTGTTATAGAAATCTTGATTCTTTTCATCAGGTGCATAGTAATTCTTCTCTATGGCTTAATACCTGTGTTTACATGCTATTTAATAAAAGCTTTAATTTCCTCTACAATGTAAAAATAAATATATATATATGCACACACAAAGTAATCTAAATGTTCCTAACATTAGATAAAACTTTGATTTGACCTTGCTGGTTTTTCTTCTGGTAACGTTTATGAGTGCATTTTAATTTTTACAGAAAAGGTCTTAAGCTGTAAACCCCTTGGTGACAACAGATTAAATTGGTCGTTCTTCTCTTGGGAGTAGAATGGGCTGCCTAATTATTTTAATAACATCCCAAATCAGAATATACTTTCCTTTATAGCCTCATGAGCCTTCTAGCACTCTCATTTTGATCAAGAACATTCTATTCTGGATGAGCTCTGCAGGACATACAGTAGCTACATAGTTCATTGGGTGGTCACAAACTTGGCTACAGAATCACTCACCATGAAGATGAAACTTTAAATGACAAAGCAGGGAGGCAATGGTACACTGTATCTTTCCCTTTAATCCTAAAGTTATCAGGTATATAGTTTGGACCTGCCACTGTGCTCCTTTTTGATGAAAACACTTATGGTTCACTGAGGCCTAGAAAGGAAACAAATTTAGTAGGGTTGGTAGGAGAGTATCACCTTGGACCTTTCACAGATAAGTTACTCAAATCCTTTAACTTCAAATATTTCAAAATTTAGATTTCTATTTGGTATATCCCCATATTAATTCACTTTATATGCTGTAGAATAATACTAATTTCAACTTAAGATGGATTTTATGCTTTTTTTGCTAAATGAAAAGTTGGGCTTATTAAGGTTTCATGGATCTTTCCTAAAGTTCAATAAAGGAGAGAAAAATTATGCAACAAATTTTATTTAGCAGTCCCAACATTCAGCACAAAAAGTTTACAGAGGATAGAAAGTGCATTAATAAAAGCCAGTCTTTACCAAAAGAAAACAGAAAATATATTATTGATTCAAAATATTTTACACTTGAATGATAAACTGCAATAACTTATTCTGGGCACCTACTGATAAGAGAAAGGAAGAGAAGAAAAGAATACTTTAAGAAGAGCTCAACTTCCAGCTGGTATCAGAGAAGTCAGTAGAGGTCACTGAGACCGGCAGTCTTTCTTGCTTTTTGCATTAGTGCCCTCAGCTGGAACTGTTTACGGGACAGAAGACGTACATGCTGGGAGGGGAAAAAAGTTTGAATAGTTTAGAATGGCTTTGATTTAGGCCCAGTCATAAAATATCAGACAATTTGTAACCTAGATGGGATCTAAGAACCCTAACTCAACCTGTCAACCTTTGGAATGAATACCTCATTACATGTGGCTTTTAAACTTCATATTATAAAGGCTTAACAGGGAAAGCATTACATTGCAGGATCTGGCTCAGGAGTTTGACTTATACTTTCTTTTCCTAAGCGATGCCACTCAAGCAAGAGATTGTACAGAAAGAGTCCTCTCTTGGGTCTCTGGTTTACATCCAGCCATTCTTGTGGTTATACCACTTCTGAGGCACATGGTTTGGCCATTCCCCCACAGTGAGGAGATAGGCAAGATCAGCACATGACCTGACCTGGCTCCAGCTGCAGCTGGATCAAATATCCCAAGGGTGGCTGCTATTATTCCTAAAACCATGTTCTCCATGACCCAAGAGACAGCAGTAGCTAAACTTCGCTTACTAGATTTTCCACTGTACAACAGCATTAAGCTTGAGACAACTTTCATTCAAGAGGGCTTGAAAGGACAGCCTGATACCTTGAAGGGCTGTCTGATGTGGGAAAACTGGTCTAAAGTTATATAACTCTAAGAAAATTAACAGATAAAAAATGGAGGTGGCACAATCAGTGATCTCAGGTGGTATGACCTCAAAGAACCAATGGAAATCTGATCGTGCCTCCTGATCCACCCAGGCACAGAATTACACTCATCTTAATGCTGCCTGGTGGATAGAGAACTGCAGCCACCAGCCCACTTTTCTTCCCCTGCTCAGATCAATCCTCAGTACTCTGTAGGTAAAAAGATGGCGCAAAACCCTACATCTCGTTTGCTGTCTTTTGGGAAGATAAAGAATCTTAATTCATACTACAGAGAAACTCTTGGTTTGTGGTTTGCAAGGTCAGGGCCTCTACAGCCCAAGTTAAAAAATCTTGGAAAGTAAAATGAAGACATACCTTCAGGAAGACATCCAGGTCTATCACTCCCCTTCTCAAGGCTTCTCCCAAGTAAAAGATAGTGTCTTCAATAGCGTTTTCTTCTGCATACAGATTCAGGATCTGTTTGTATAAGGGAGCTGTGGGAATGATAACTTCATCGATATCATTATTTTCAGACTGATTTTCCATTTTCTCCAGAGCAGAACTGAGTTCTTCATCCTTCTTTTTCAAAAGTTCTATGTTTTTATCAACCTCGGCCTGAAAACAGAACAGTCCAAGCATTATTAATTGTACATAATTATCCACTTATCAGACATCTACAACACTTCACAGAAAAAGGTGGGCTAATAACCATGTTTAAATAACTCATGGATGAGAATCATGTTTCAAATAGCACCCCGGTCAAAGGTAGAGGAAAAGATGTGATCTATGCTGAGTGAAATACAGTAATGATGGAGATATCCTGAGCTGACCACTTTCAGCGACGGTAACAAGCTTGTCACTTGTCAGTGACAAATGATCCTGCAAACTAAGCCGTCAGACAAGATACTTACCAGCAGAAGGTTCCTTTACATAGAAAATCATAAGAGGTTTTTCTTCTCAGCAAGTAGGCATCTGCCATAGGAGAGTAACTTTCCCGTCTATGAAGAGGATTCAATGCATAGAGGCCCAAATGTCTGTATTCTAATCACAAAGTATCACACGCAGGTGGTGGCTGTAGGCTCTGAGTTGTATTGGTGTCACTTTCCTGAATTCTAAAAATTGGCTACTTCGAAGCTCATTTTATAATCTAGAACCACTTTGTAAGGCTAATGGGTACATACAAATCACCTTCCACAGCGCCCTCAACCTTCTAAGAATTCCTTACTCTTCCATCAAAAAGGCACATTTACTGGAATAAATTCTCCCTCATGGGGATGAAAATGGAGCATGAAATTGGCATTTCAATTATGCTGATGCCTCCACTTTATCATCATTAAGCAAAGCCACGGGGCTGACTTACACATGGACTCTCCAAGGCACAGCTGTCTGTTATAAATATGAGAAAGCTTAAAGAGCTGAAGGTTGCATATGCTATGTTTATATGTAGCTCTTTAGCCAACCAAGTATCTCTGGATTATTGTGAAAGTTCCCTGAACATACTTTTAAAGATGGCTCACACAACCTTTGGCAACAATAAAACAGTACTGTCCTTTTAAGTCTGCACCTAAGATTAGAGATCTTTATCATGGCTTAGAGCTCTCAACTTATTTCCTAGTAACTGGCAACATCAACCACTCAAACAGTCCTCTGTTGGGTTAAAACATCATTTCCGGCCGGGCGCGGTGGCTCAAGCCTGTAATCCCAGCACTTTGGGAGGCCGAGATGGGCGGATCACAAGGTCAGGAGATCGAGACCATCCTGGCTAACACGGTGAAACCCCGTCTCTACTAAAAAATACAAAAAACTAGCCGGGCGAGGTGGCGGGCGCCTGTAGTCCCAGCTACTCCGGAGGCTGAGGCAGGAGAATGGCATAAACCTGGGAGGCGGAGCTTGCAGTGAGCTGAGATCCGGCCACTGCACTCCAGTCTGGGTGACAGAGTGAGACTCCGTCTCAAAAAAAATAAAAAAACAAAACAAAACAAAAAAAAAAACCATCATTTCCTAGGGCAAAGGTGTGTTATGGTCTGGCTGTGTCCCCACCCAAATCTCAACTTGAATTTTTTTCACAGAAAGGGACCTGTGAAGGGGCGGAGGTGGTAATGGAATCATGGGAGCCGGTCTTTCCTATGCTATTCTCATGATAGTGAATAAATCTCACAAGATCTGATGGGTTTATCAGAGATTTCCACTTTTGCTTCCTCCTCATTTCCTCTTGCCACCACCATGTAAGAAGTGCCTTTTGGTTGGGTGTGGTGGCTCATGCCTATAATCCCAACACTTTGGGAGGCCAAGGTGGGCAGATCACTTGAGATCAGGAGTTCGTGACGAGCCTGGCCAACATGATGATACCCCGTCTCTACTAAAAAATACAAAAATTAGCCAGGCATGGTGACAGGCACCTGTAATCCCAGCTACTCAGGAGGCTGAGGCAGGAGAATCGCTTGAACCTGGGGGGTAGAGGTTGCAGTAAGCCGAGATCATGCCACTTCACTCCAGCCTGAGCAAGAGTGAGACTCTCTCAAAAAAAAAAAAAAAAAAAGAAATGCCTTTTCCCTCCCACCATGATTCTGAGGCCTCCCCAGCCATGTGGAACTGTAAGTCCAATTAAACCTCTTTCTCCCCAGTCTCGGATGTGTCTTTATCAGCAACATGAAAATGGACTGATACAAGGTGCAAACAAAATGGTCTAAATATTATTCCCCTCCCAATCAAAGACCAAATGCCAAACATAGGCTCCACTGTAAACAAAGCTATAAAAAATTACATTCACATGTCTAAAGATGCCTATAATTTTCTGAACTCCTATTATGCCCACAACATCCAGGATACATATAGAACACTTTGCCATGGCTACAATTCAATCCAAAACTTTTAAGTCTTTAATGAGTCACTTACTACTTCTTGATCTAAACGGGTAACCATCTCTTCCAGTTTTTGGTGACCCTTTTTCAGGTCTTCTTCTGTTCGTTTCAAGGCATTGAGCTCTGCCTGGGCACGATCCATTTCCTCCTTCATCCGCCATCTCAGTTTGTCACTGACCGCTGAGATGAGAGAGGCTCGGATGGTGTCCTCGCTGATTGTGCCATCCCTACTGGGACCTGCAGGAAACAGAGGCAAAAAGCACTTGCTTATTTCCCAAGTTCCTTCTATTTGTCTCACAGGAACCTTCAGAAAAGAGGGCAATATGAACCGACACTTTCAAAATGTGAGGAAAGAAAAAAATTACGTTTCATCAGAAACAATGTAAAAAATCTGAGTTGATTCAGAAATACTTGCCCTGAAAGAGATTACTATTAATCCATGTTAAACCCAGTTTCCCTATTCATAGCCCAAACAATTAGCTATTTTCTCAATGAGACAGAGTCTATGTCCCTACCAATTGCAATTATTCCTAAATCACCAACAAATGGCACGATAATTTCCACCAAGGAAAAACATTTGATGCAGGCAAAGTCCAATATCAGGCTTCACTGCTAAGCTGAAGGAGACAGGTGCCCATTGTAGCAGCCAGTGAGGACTGAGAATGAGCAGTTTCCCTAAACGAATGTACAGTTTAATAAGGCTCCCCTCTGTAAGACTTTCACTCCTTCACCCTTTACCAACAGGACAGAATGGATAAACAAAAAAGAATGACATCCAAAAATTCAACAGCTGATAAAGTGTTTATTCCCAGATTATTCTCTTCCAAATGTCCCTTCC